CCAAATACCACACAAAACGGAAGAGGGTAGGAACAACTTTGCGGTCGAAATTTGCCGGGATCCCCTTGGCGCCCTGCAAAAAGTCCTGTAAATACCACACAAAACGGAAGAGGGTAGGAACAACTTTGCAGGTCGAAATTTGCCGGGATCCCCTTGGCGCCCTGCCAAAGTCCTGCGAATACCACACAAAACGGAAGAGGGTAGGAACAACTTTGCGGGTCGAAATTTGCCGGGATCCCCTTGGCGCCCTGCAAAAAGTCCTGTAAATACCACATACCACACAAAACGGAAGAGGGTAGGAACAACTTTGCGGGTTGAGATTTGCCGGGAGCCCCTTGGCGCCCTGCCAAAGTCTTGAAATGCCACACAAAACGGAAGAGGGTAGGAGCATTGTAAAGTCCCTCTTAGGGTTTAGGGTTCAGGGTTTAGGGTTTAGGGTTTATGGTTCAGACCCTAAATCCGAACCTCTACGCGTCCTCAAAGCCCGACTCCTCAAGTCAAAGCTAAGCCATTTAAACCGCTAAATCCGGAGACGCTTAAATACCCCCCAAACCGACCCCAAACCCTAAACCCCAAATCCTAAATCCCTAAACCCCAAACCCTCTAAACCCCAAACCCTAAACCCAAACCCCAAACCCTAAACTCTTAAACCGCAAACCCCTTAACCCTCAGCCAAACCCACAAACCCTCAACCCTGAGCTACCCTAAACCCCAAATCCTAAACCCCTAAACCCCCAAACCCCCAAACCCTAACCCTAAACCCCAAACCCTACCCCTAAGCCCCAAACCCTCAACCCTAAACCCAAAACCCCAAACCCTAAACCCTAGACTAGGTAAGGAACAAGGGGTAAGGATTAAGGAATAGGGAATAGAGAATAGGGAATAGAGAATAAGGAATAAGGAATAAGGAATATTGAATAAGGAATAAGGAATAAGGAATACAGACCAAGATCCTCACCAAGGCCACGGGTCAAATAATACATAAAGGGTTCTCTTACAAGCAGTGTACCCCTTAAGTTTTGGAAAACAAAGCTCCCAAACTGACAAATCGCAAGCAGTGTCCCCCGCAAATTTTCGAAAAACTGAGCTCCCAGAATGACAAATCGCAAGCAGTGTCCCCCTCTAAGTTTTTGGAAAACCGAGCTCCCAAAATGACAAATCGCAAGCAGTGTCCCCCTTAAGTTTTTGAAAAACTGAGCTCCCAAAATCACAAATCGCAAGCAGTGTGCCCCCTTAAGTTGTTGGAAAACTGCGCTCCCAAAATGACATATCGCAAGCATTGTTACCCCTGAAGTTTTGGAAAACAGGGCTTCCAAAATGACAAATCGCAAGCAGAGTCCCCTTTAAGTGTTTGGAAAGCTGAGCTCCCAAGATGAGAAGTCGCACGCATTGTCCCCCTTAAGCTTTTGGAAAACTAAGCTCCCAAAATGACAAATCGCAAGCAGTGTCCCCCGTAAGTTTTTTTGGAAAACTGCGCTTCCAAAATGACAAATCGCAAGCAGTGTCCCCCTTAAGCTTTTGGAAAACTAAGCTCCCAAAATGACAAATCGCAAGCAGTGTCCCCCTTAAGTTTTTTGGAAAACTGCGCTCCCGAAATGACAAATCGCAAGCAGTGTCCCCCATAAGCTTTTGGAAAACTGAGCTCCCAAAATGACAAATCGCAAGCAGTGTCCCCCGTAAGTTTTTTGGAAAACTGCGCTCCCAAAATGTCAAATCGCAAGCAGTGTCCCCCTTAAGTTTTTTGGAAAACTGCGCTCCCGAAATGACAAATCGCAAGCAGTGTCCCCCATAAGCTTTTGGAAAACTGAGCTCCCAAAATGACAAATCGCAAGCAGTGTCCCCCGTAAGTTTTTTGGAAAACTGCGCTCCCAAAATGACATATCGCAAGCAGTGTCCCCCTTAAGCTTTTGGAAAACTCAGCTCCAAAAATGACAAATCGCAAGCAGTGTCCCCCGTAAGTTTTTTTGGAAAACTGCGCTTCCAAAATGACAAATCGCAAGCAGTGTCCCCCTTAAGCTTTTGGAAAACTAAGCTCCCAAAATGACAAATCGCAAGCAGTGTCCCCCTTAAGTTTTTTGGAAAACTGCGCTCCCGAAATGACAAATCGCAAGCAGTGTCCCCCATAAGCTTTTGGAAAACTGAGCTCCCAAAATGACAAATCGCAAGCAGTGTCCCCCGTAAGTTTTTTGGAAAACTGCGCTCCCAAAATGACAAATCGCAAGCAGTGTCCCCCTTAAGTTTTTTGGAAAACTGCGCTCCCGAAATGACAATCGCAAGCAGTGTCCCCCTTAAGCTTTTGGAAAACTGAGCTCCCAAAATGACAAATCGCAAGCAGTGTCCCCCTTCAGTTTTTGGAAAACTGAGCTCCCAAAATGACAAGTCGCAAGCAGTGTCCCCCTGTAAGTTTTTGGAAAACCGATTCAGGGAGGACTGCTCAGCTAGGGGTTAGATAGTTTAGATAGTTTAGATAGTTCAGGGGCTTCCTGAACTATCTAAACTATCTAAACTATCTAACCTCTGGCTGGGGACGACCCAGAGGGAATTGAAACTTTCTAAACTTTCTAAACTATCTAAACTATCTAAACTATCTAACCTCCTTTTTGCTCAAAATCGAGGTTAGATAGTTTAGATAGTTTTTGGGGCTCGTCTAAACTATCTAAACTATCTAAACTATCTAAACTATCTAACATCCTTTTCTCCCAAAATCGAGGTTAGATAGTTTAGATAGTTTAGATAGTTTAGATAGTTTAGATAGTTTAGATAGTTTAGATAGTTTAGATAGTTTAGATAGTTTAGATAGTTTAAAAAGTTTCAAACCTCCTGGGGGCCTCCCCGGAAAGAGGTTAGATAGTTTAGATAGTTTAGATAGTTCAGGGGCTTCCTGAACTATCTAAACTATCTAAACTATCTAACCTCTGGCTGGGGACGACCCAGAGGGAATTGAAACTTTCTAAACTATCTAAACTATCTAAACTATCTAAACTATCTAAACTATCTAACCTCCTTTTTTCTCAAAATCGAGGTTAGATAGTTTAGATAGTTTAGGGGCTCGTCTAAACTATCTAAACTATTTAAACTATCTAAACTATCTAACCTCCTTTTCTCCCAAAATCGAGGTTTGATAGTTTAGATAGTTTAGATAGTTTAGAAAGTTTCAAACCTCCTGGGGGCCTCCCCGGAAAGAGGTTAGATAGTTTAGATAGTTTAGATAGTTCAGGGGCTTTCTGAACTATCTAAACTATCTAAACTATCTAACCTCTGGCTGGGGACGACCCAGAGGGAAGTGAAGCTTTCTAAACTATCTAAACTATCTAAACTATCTAACCTCCTTTTTTCCCAAAATCGAGGTTAGATAGTTTAGATAGTTTAGGGGCTCGTCTAAACTATCTAAACTATCTAAACTATCTAACCTCCTTTTCTCCCAAAATCGAGGTTAGATAGTTTAGATAGTTTAGATAGTTTAAATTTTTTTTGATTGTTTCAAACCTCCTGGGGGCCTCCCCGGAAAGAGGTTAGATAGTTTAGATAGTTTAGATAGTTCAGGGGCTTCCTGAACTATCTAAACTATCTAAACTATCTAACCTCTGGCTGGGGACGACCCAGAGGGAATTGAAACTTTCTAAACTATCTAAACTATCTAAACTATCTAAACTATCTAAACTATCTAACCTCCTTTTTTTCACAAGATCGAGGTTAGATAGTTTAGATAGTTTAGGGGCTCGTCTAAACTTCTAAACTATCTAAACTATCTAACCTCCTTTTTGCCCAAAATCGAGGTTAGATAGTTTAGATAGTTTAGATAGTTTAGATAGTTTAGAAAGTTTCAAACCTCCTGGCTGCCTCCCCGGAAAGAGGTTAGATAGTTTAGATAGTTTAGATAGTTCAGGGGCTTCCTGAACTATCTAAACTATCTAAACTATCTAACCTCTGGCTGGGGACGACCCAGAGGGCATTGAAACTTTCTAAACTATCTAAACTATCTAAACTATCTAACCTCCTTTTTTTCCCAAAATCGAGGTTAGATAGTTTAGATAGTTTAGGGGCTCGTCTAAACTATCTAAACTATCTAACCTCGATTTTGGAGAAAAGGAGGTTAGATAGTTTTGATAGTTTAGATAGTTTAGATAGTTTCAAACCTGCTGGGGGCCTCCCCGGAAAGAGGTTAGATAGTTTAGATAGTTTAGATAGTTCAGGGGCTTCCTGAACTATCTAAACTATCTAAACTATCTAACCTCTGGCTGGGGACGACCCAGAGGGAATTGAAACTTTCTAAACTATCTAAACTATCTAAACTATCTAACCTCCTTTTTTCCCAAAATCGAGGTTAGATAGTTTAGATAGTTTAGGGGCTCGTCTAAACTATCTAAACTATCTAAACTATCTAAACTATCTAAACTATCTAAACTATCTAACCTCCTTTTTTCCCAAAATCGAGGTTAGATAGTTTAGATAGTTTAGATAGTTTAGATAGTTTAGATAGTTTAGAAAGTTTCAAACCTCCTGGGGGCCTCCCCGGAAAGAGGTTAGATAGTTTAGATAGTTTAGATAGTTCAGGGGCTTCCTGAATTATCTAAACTATCTAAACTATCTAACCTCTGGCTGAGGACGACCCAGAGGGAATTGAAACTTTCTAAACTATCTAAACTATCTAAACTATCTAAACTATCTAACCTCCCTTTTTTCCCAAAATCGAGGTTAGATAGTTTAGATAGTTTAGGGGCTCGTCTAAACTATCTAAACTATCTAAACTATCTAACCTCCTTTTCTCCCAAAATCGAGGCTAGATAGTTTAGATAGTTTAGATAGTTCAGGGGCTTCCTGAACTATCTAAACTATCTAAACTATTTAACCTCCTTCTCCAAGAAAGGAAAGTAATCACATAGTACCTAAAGGTCCCTCTTACATATATATATATATATATATGTATATGTGTGTGTGTGTGTATATGTCTATATAGTAGTATCATTATTGGGCACAGGGTCCTAGGTTGAGCTTGAGAGGAGTGGAACTTCACTGGATGGAGCTCGCTCGTCAGACTCGCCCGTCATGAGGCCGGGATTTCAGTGTCTTGGACGAACTATGCACCGGGGTTCGGGTTTGGGGTTAGGGTGTAGGGTTTACAGGTTTGGGGTTTGGGGTTTGGGGTTTAGGTTACCGATGCACTGTACTTGTCATCCGGCATGTGGCTTCACTTAGGCAATGACGGCCTGTGCGATGGGCAACTTCCAGTGCGACGTGACCTATTGCCAGCTGAACTACTGCCACAATGACCGCTTCCGAGCAAAGTTCGGAAATTTCTCATGGGCATACCCTGACGTTTGACCTGCTGTCTTGTGGGCAGTGAAAAGGGCTTCCATGACATGCAGGGCACGGGAAGGCGCCGGAGGGCATGGTACAATGATACGAAGATATGTTAATTCAATAGAACTTTCATATCAAAGCTTTTAAGGGTCTTTATTATGTGCTGCAACATGAACAGTTGCTCGAAAATGCGCGAGGTGCATCGAATTGAAGTGGTCGGCTTTGTTGGCTCAACGAGGTGCTTTTGTGAAGGCTCGGGGGGGGTTTGGGTGGGGGGGCAGGGGGGGGTGGGGGGGCAGGGGGGGGTGGGGGGGCGGGGGGCGGTTTCAGGCTGCTTAGCTCCTCAAACGCTGGACATGTTGTGTTGTGGCGAGGATCTTAAGTAGGAAGACCCTCAGGAATGTTCAAAGGGCCGACCTAATTAGCGAAGTGGTGTGCTCTGCACAAGTGCCATGGCGGCCGGCCACGCGGCCGTCAGAGTTTTGGCCGGAGCCCCGGCCAATTGGGCTAGTACAAGTATGTAAAAAGCAATAGCAGTAGAATATTCTGATAATATGGTAGTATGACAATTTCAGAGTGTAAAACTATAATGCTGGAATACTGCAAGAATCTAGCAACGTAATAGTAACTACTAATATAGTAATATATCAATATATTGATGTATGAGTCCGTTTAACATTTTAATCATATACTAGTGCTTTCGTATGAGAGTATAAGAACTCGGAACTCCATATCACAATTAAGAACATATTCATCATATAGTCATATGTTCGGAAACATCACATAACATGATGATGATAATAATACCAATAACAATAATAGCAACAATAATAGTACTAGTAATAATATCGTAGTAATCGTAGTAATAGTCATAATAGTAGTAATGGTCATAATAAAAAGATGTTAGTTTTAGAACAACAACAGTAATAATAATAACCATAATCATAATCGTCATAATACGAATAGTAGTAGTAGTAGTAGTAGTAGTAGTAGTAGTAGTAGTAGTAGTAGTAGTAGTAGGAGTGGTACTAACAATGTGTCATCCATCTCTCACAAACAGCCGGGAGAGCATTGCGGGAGCAGCTTCCATCAAACCCTGGGTTTGGGGTCTGGGGTTTGGGGTTTGGGGTTTAGGGTTTGGGGTTTAGGGTTTTGGTTTAGGGTTTGGGGTTTGGGGTTTAGGGTTTAGGGTTTAGGATCTAGGGTTTAGGATTTAGGGTTTAGGGTTTAGTAGGCTTAATATCCCGGACGGCTTTTGTGCAGCAACTCGGCTTTCTAAGGAGGGTGGACTGGAGGCCAGCCGGGTGTGTCGGACACTTGCACAAGAAGAGCTGCAGCTGTGGTCATGACTCGGCGTGTCGTTGCTCTTCCTGAAAGCAGGCGCCAGGTGTTCTCGAAAATTCTTCTTCTTATTATTACTACTATTATTATTATTACGACGATTATCATTATTGTTACCATTGTCACTGTTATTGTTATTCTTGTACACTCCTGTACACTTGTAGCCTGGAATTGCCTTCTCTCCACTGTGGGTGGTCGAAGACAACTGTGGCCCGAGCAGCGAGTTCTTTCAGCACACGGAACCTACCCTTGTGTAGGTTCTGACAAGCAAGTGCTCCAGTATGGTTTAGGGTTTAGGGTTTAGGGTTTAGGGTTTAGGGTTTAGGGTTTAGGGTTTAGGGTTGTCCTTACAACAGCCGCCAGGCAAAATACCTCAGGGCCGTTTGCATTGAATTGCGCCAACCAAGCACAACCCATCCCAACCGCTTGCGATTCTAGGCAGTGCCTGCCATTGTGACGCAATGGCAAATAGACATGGCTTGGACAGCAGGCCTGTCCAGCTCCCTCACAGCTCCTTGGGTCAAAGCAAAATGGCAAAAGTCAGACTCGTAGTTTCACAAGGAGACTTTCAATTCATCGAAAGGCTCAATACATGCTTGCCGTGATCACCATGATTGTCAAGCACATGCGTGCTTATATGTGATATTTCGTTTCTACAGTACGTGTTGCTGTGTTCATTCAGAGTTTTCGTTGGCTGTGGTTACGCTTCTGTGTCATTGAAGTCATGGGTCTTCTTGTCGCATCATGGTTTGCTTATCGTGATCCTCATGTCGATTGTCGCAGCTGTAGTCGGCATCATTGGCGTCATCCGAGCCACTTGTAGCACATCGTCTTGTTTGGCTAGGGATGGCTAAGGTTACTTTCCGTAGGTTCACTGCTCGCGCTTGTGCCTGTCCCAGATGAGACAAAAAGCTGCCACAGCGAAAAGTGCCATGGCGACAAACCACCTGCCCCGCTGAGGAACACTGCAAAGTACTGCCACCAGTTTCACTGTGAATTGCCCAAAGCCCCAAAACCCTTGAACCCTAAACCCTAACAATAAACTGCTAGCTCCAAGCCCACCCACATGAGGCCTGCTCGACGGTGTGGACTCGCCAGACGAGGCCTGCGGATATGGCTGCCCACAACCGAGGGCTTAGGGTTTAGGGTTTAGGGTTTAGGGTTTAGGGTTTAGGTGCTGAAGGTTGGGATGTTCCCCCTTATACTAACAGCTCCTTTATAGGGATTCTAGTACCCCTTTTCCCCACCCCCACTATAATCCCTAAGGAGCTGTGAGTACAAGGGGGAGCATCCCAAGCTGAAGGTTTATAGGCTTAAGGGTGAGGGTTTAGGGCTGTTTAGGGTTCAGGGGTGCCGTAGAAGCAATAGTAATCATAGAAAAACGAGTACGACTAGCAGTAATTGTTTTTTCAGCAGTACCATTCTTCAGTCGTATTATTCGGAACAGAAGCATGAGCAATCGTACCGACCAGTGTGCCAACTTTGGTTGGAACTGCAGGGCGTGTTCTCACTGCGTCCTCCGGATGCTTGCCTGCAATACTTCCTCAACCCCAAAGCACACCCAAGCCCTGAACCCTGACTTCGGCCCAAGCCCTGAAACAAAAACTTCCAAAATACCCTGCATAGGGGTTATCCCAATTATAAGTAGGGTTACAAGTACAGTTATAAGTGGTTATTAAGTCCCATGAACCTTCAAGTGGAGTCCTGCAACCCAACTGAGGACGGTGACCCTCCATGCGTTGTCGACATGGAAGAGCAGACCCTAACATCGCCAAGCAGCTTGGCATTAAGCCCATGGACTTGCGGGCATGGATGTTTCTGAGGCAGCTGTCGCAGTAGGGGTTAGGGTTTTAGGGTTTAGGGTCTATAGGGCTTAGGGCCTAGGGTTTCTGGCTTAGGGCTCAGAGGCTCTGATGTTCATGGTATAGCGGTGCAACTATCGCAAGCTTATGGTTTAGCGCGTGCATTTCGGAGGCGCGGGCTGTACAAGCAAACCGGGGTTGAAGCTCCCATCGGGCTTCTTTTTGCATGTTGGGTTTCCGGAATTCGGGGAAACTTAGTGGGTGTCCGTATTTCAAGGGAATCATACTATTTGTCCTCTATCTTCCGGGTCCGCTATTTTCGCAAACCCCCATTTTGAGCAATCGATTGCGTTTAGGCGTGGGCATGGTATTGACTTTCTCGCTTGAGTTGTTCTGGGAAGGAGATAGGGCCGCAATAAGAATTAGATCGCTTATGGTGGCTTTCAACAAGTTGATTCAGCCGGAGCAAGCTGGCATAGTGCCGCCCTTCATGCAGCTTCAGGAATTCCCCATGCACTGCTTCCATTGAGCCCAAGTGCGAAGGAGACCCTCACCCCCCACCACTTCTTAGATAACATCAGGATGCTGCGCTCTACGGAGAACGAGATGAAGTAGCACATGAACAAATATGAGCCACTTCTTGTTAGCAGCATGCACCTTCGGCCCCTACGCTTCCGTTCGAAGTCGCTCACTAAATTAGGGCACCGAGCAGCAATCGTCTCCTGTTCATCTCTGAAGACAGTTCCCAACTCCCAACTCCCCAGAGGAATTGAAAAGGCAGGAGTTGGGGGTTCCTTAGCTGTCCAACTTGAGGCGCCGTGCCACTCTCGCCAAGGCTGCGTGTGTTGTGGTGTGGACTCAGGGTCCAGGTTTCGGATTCGGGCCTGGTACGCGGGATCCCAGGTTAGAGAATGTTGTTGCAAGAGCTGCTTGCTTAGTTAGAGGTGGCCTCGATTCTATGGTTACAGCAAGTGCTGTGGAATGTGGTGCGCTGATTCGTGTAGGTGGGCGTTTTAAGGATGGCTTTAAATATGCCCCGGGCAATTCGGGGGGATCCGAACTACCCAGAGGATTTAAACGTAGAACCTCCAACTAGTGCCCTGTACTATGGGTTTAGGGTTTAGGGTTCAGGGTTTTGGGTTTATAGCTTGTCCTGCTATGTTGTATCTTTCTTTGGAAGACTCTATGGGGGTCTACTTAGATCCTTCCAGTTGCACGAAGAAAACCGGTTACCGATTGGAGATGCACGCCTTGGTCTTGCTCAAACCCCAAACTCTAAACACTCAATCCTCAACCCTAAACCCTAAACCCTAAACCTTGCACCCAAAGGCACTCTTCGAAAGATAGCCTGCGCGATCGTGACATGCAACGGCTGTTCCTCGGAATGACGTTGGCGACTTCGGCCCTGTACTAGCAGGAGCATGCCGTGTGGGTGCGACATCTGACGCAGGTAAGGGGTTGCATGTGAGCCTAAACCCTGGCAGCCTAAACCCTAAACCCCAGACCCCAAATCCCTAAACCCGAAACCCTAAACCATTGACCCTAAACCCTAAACGACTTAAGCATCGACCGAGTCATTGCGGCCAACAGTTGGCCCGAGCCCTACCATTGGCTCCAGTCCAGAAGGTTATGGGCGAAAAATGGGTAGCATTACCCACCCAAAATGGCGTCCTTAATGCACCCCCAAACTGTTGAATCCTTCAAATAGTAAACCTAAAAAGGATACCCCTGATTTTTGGCTGACGTGTTGCCCCACCTAGCCGTTGAGTCAGGTATTTGTCCAAAGGCTAAACCCGAACCCGAAACCCTAAACACTGCAGCCGTTAAAACGCAAACCCGCGGAAAGTCTTAGGCTCAGATCGATCCTTCTCGACTACT